CGCCAGCGTCCTATATCGAAAATCGCTCTCAAAAAAAAAAAAAAAAAAACTAACAGAGGTAGTTGTGAATTGTACTGAATTTCTCATATGTCATACAGACTTTGAAGACTAGGAGGAAATGCTAATTTGTATTATTTATATCACTGAGTTTGTATGTGTATGATTATGATAAAAATAGGCGATGGGCTTGTCTTATATAGGAAGTTGTCCGGCAAGGGGAAGGGTCTCCACGTTGTTCACACATTCTCATGCTGTCCTTAGCCCTGTCTCTTAGCACAAACTAAGCGTGACTTCAAGCTACACACATTCACCAAATGTATTGAGGTATCTTTTCCATTTTAAAGGAATTTATGCTTATTATGGAAAATACTGAAAATAAGAAACACTCCTTGAGAGTCCCACTAATGAATGAAAACACATCACTTTACCATTCTCTCTCTTCTTAACGTTTGTTTGTTTATCTCTTCCAAGAGAGAGAAAGTACCTCTAGTAGGGTCTTGGTGCTGCAATCCATCCACAACTTCAGCTGTGCCAGATCATGGCCACCCACAGGCTTGGCATGTGTAGGGAGGTCTCTAAATGGAAACCTGGACACCCTTCCCATTGGGGTCAGTCTCACAGAGCATCACATTTTACTGCTGTGCCATTCTCTAACCCTTTTGAGCAGATGCTTCTTAAGAATGGACACCTATCAGAAATTATTTTGACTTATGAATGATTAATGATTTCCTTAATGAGAGAAAACCACAGGAGGAAAAAGCAGTTTTATAAATGTATAAGATTATCAGAAGTATTTTATTTAGTAAAAGAAAGTATGATGGGGAAGCAGCAGTTGGCGTAATGGCTATGTCGCTAGACTCCCATGTAGTCAATCGCAGTTCGAGTCCCGGACCTGGTGGCTTAAACTCACACTGGGTGTGTGTGCATGCATGCCCAAGATCCTGAGAGGAGAATGGAGGAGAAGGGATTGTGGTGTGGCCATCCCCGCCGGGAGGTGATTTCTTGCTTTCTGTCTCTATGTCTCTTTCTGGCAAGCACATGGGCCCTATAGCTAAAATCTCTCAAAAAACAAAAACAAAAAACAAATGAAAGTATGATGGAATAAGATATTTGGGTCACGTACAAAGCTGGTTAATGCCCTATGGGACAATAAAATGGCAATGGTTGAAGTAACATGTACAGAAACCATTTTCATCTATGAAGGACAATATTTGATTGACATTTTAGGGAAGAATCATTTACTTTGTTTATAGTTTTTAATAGATCAATGCTTTTACAGGGCTTTCAAATATCCTCACCAATAATAGTGAGTGAGAACAAATGTACTCACCCCTAGAGAATTAGATACTCCTTGGGTGGGTCAGTTGAACAGTGCTCCATTATGACAGTCTCCTTTATTACCATAAATAATCTTAGAGATTATTCATGGTCATGGAAAGTCATTGTGTTTGGGCTCAATTCATTGACATAAATTCAAAAGAAGTTTTTTAATTAGCATATAAAAGCCTTCTTGTACTATAGACAGCCAATATAGTGCTATATTATGTGAGCAATTATTATTAATAAAGCCAGAGAATTAATTTCTATCTGATAATTCATTAAGGAATTTAGAAGAACGTTTTCAATGGCTTCCATCACTCCAGAGAGTGAGTTTCCTTAATGCCCTAATTCGTCTTCTTTTCCAAGTATAGGAAGCCAAACTCAAGATGTTCATGTCTGTGGATTTCATCTTTAGTGTCTGTAAATGTTGATGAATTTATCTTTCCTCCAGAGTTCCAGATCTTCTAAGGCTCATAGCAATCCAGAAAGTGACCTTCCTTGCTACCCGTGAGATTGGAACCCTGTAAAACAGGTTCAACTTCTTGGGAGAGCTTTGTGGATGTTGCTCCACATATGAAGTTGTAACTCCTTTTCCTTAATAGCGGGCTTGCCATACCTAGAGAAGTGAGGTTTATTTTAAAATATGACATCTAGTTTTGGCCTTGGTTGCAGTCTATTTGTCTGATGACATCCCAGTAAAAGAGAGAACAGAGTCTTGTAAAGCAAATGACAATATTGCCATGAAAATCTAGTGACTTAAAAAGTACTTCTTCTTGAATTCCAAAGATTCAAAGACAACAGTTGTTGTTAAAAGAATATTTCATTAATTTGCAAAATCAGAGTCAACTAAACTGAGTGTTAGAATTAGGTCAAGATGAATGATAAGAGTATTTTTCCCATCAAAGAAAAACCATGAAAAATAATATCAATAATGGGACCAGCAGGTGGCATGGTGGTTAACGGTGCTGGATTCTCATGTGGCCAACAGTGGTTCGAGTCCTGAACCAGGCAGTTTGTTTTCTTGCTTTCCCTTTCTCTCTCTCTCTCTCTGTCTCTGTCTGGTCAAATTGAAAAAATAATAATAACAAATGGAGTTAAATAAAAATAAATAATTCTTTAAAAAATAATAATACCAGTGATATTTAAAAACACATCCACATTTAGAAATTTGCATTCCATGGTTAGTTCAGCCAGTTGTATGTGATTAATTTTTATTCTTCTGCACCATAGGCCATTAATTTGACTTCATGAAATTATCTATTTCAGGACTAAGAAGAATTCCCAAAATCTGAGTCAGCTGCCTAGTATTGTCTGATTCTTGTATACACAATGTTAGCTCAAAAGCTCTAAGACAGTCTGTTGGTTGACATATCAGGAGTTAAGAGGAAAGCCTAGTAAAAGGCCCAGCTGCAGTGGTACAGTCCGTACAGTACTGAACTGCAGTGCTGGAAACCACATGGCTAGTTGTGATTTTGGATCCTTGGGTCTCTGGGCATGTATGCATGGGCACCTAGGATCCTGAGAAGCTAGAAAGCTGGGCAAAGGGAATCAGGATATGATGAGACCCTGTCAAGGTTGCTTCTCTGTCTGTCTTTCTTTCTTCTCTACCATCTCAGTAGGGTTTCCAGATAAGAACCCAAAACGTTCCCCTGTGGCTCAAATCACAGAGCATCACATTTTACCACTACACCACTGTCTGGCCCCTGAGATTATTTTATCATAAACCAGAGAGCTTAAATAATTTACAAGTGAGGACCTTTTTATGTTAAATATGCGAAAGTGTATCTCAGCACAAAGCCAAAAACATTACCCTTGTAGGATACTAGATTTTTGCTCTCTGGGCAGATTACTTAGAATAAACTTCCACTGCCTTTTGTAAGTATAAACTGATTTCTCCGAGATTAGCTTGTTATTTCAATTGAGATAATTGCATTTCTGTTTTACACAAATAATTAGTTTTACACTGTCATGCATTGCATTTTTAAAAAATAGGATAAATATAGTAAGATCATGTAAACTCTGCCAAAATTTTAAGATTTTTAGTTCTTCGTATAGATATACTATTTGTAGGTATTATCGATGAAGGAAAATAAAGATCCTTTTCTGCAAAACTGTAATTTTCTATTTCCATCAGCTTCCATCCATTATTCTCTTAACGATGTTGGAAATTATGTTCAAGCTGACACATCACAGAACATGATTACTGCTAACATCAAAAGTTATGTAATAATTATAATTCAGTTTACTTGAGCACAAATTGTATATTTTTCTTAATTTTATTACAGTTAGCATTTTCAGTAAATTAATATAAGACATTAAAGAATTATAGTTAAATTAGTCTCTTAATGCAAAACAAATCCAAATCTTATTTTAAAAATGAAATTACACTTGTAGTAAGCCATGCACTGATTTTTTTTAAGGAAAAAAATGTATAGCTGTTTTTTAAACCAAATTGTCAAAGCAGTTTTATTTATGTAAGAATTGACTTTGATTGTATAAATTGTTCTCTAATGGGAAAAAAATTGTAGTAGAAAATTGTTCTCTAATGGGAAAAAAATTGTAGTAGAAATTGGTGATGAGAAAAGTATTTTTCTTAAAAAGACAGTGCATTTAGGGGGCCAACAGGTGGCACAATGGTTGAAAGTGCTGGATTTCCACATGGCGACCTTAGTTTGAGTCCTGGACCCAGTGACTTGAAAGTCTTGCCGGGCACATGTGTGTGTTCGCGCGCGTGTGTGCAAAATCTCAAGAGCAGAGTGGAAGAGAGGGGATTGTGGTATGGCCATCTCTCCTTTACCTCTCTCTAT